GGGGAGGGACAGATGGACATGGGGATGGTGGAACCACGATGTCCACCCCACCCCACCTCCTTCTCACCTGGTTCCTTGCGCTCGTTGGGCACGAGGCAGCGCACGAAGTGGGGGTGGGTGGTCTTCAGGTTGGCCATCAGCTTGTTGAGGTTCTCCTGGAGAGGAGACATGAGCTTGAGCACTGGGAGGAGTTCTGGGCTGGTGGGACTACCCTCCATGCCACGGGGGTTGTCCTCTCCCTGCCCCAGGCTGCGCAGGTCCCTCACCCTGTGCAAGGCTGAGACTGTCTGGAAGGAAGAACCTTTCTTCTTGGCTCCTTTGCCCTTCCCACCATCACCTCCTGTGGAGAAGATGAGGTGAGACGTGACCCAAAGTCAACCCTGGTGGGCAACTGTCTTCTCCCCCCACCCATCACCCACCGGCGTCGCCCCCGGTGTAGCTGGAGAAGAGTGTGGCCAAGAGCTTGAGAGCAGATTTCTGGTAGAGTCCCACCACAGTCTCGTTGAGAGGGTCCTTGTTCTTCTCCAGCCACCCCAGGATGTTGTAGTCCACGGTTCCGGCGTAGTGGGTGAGGGAGAAATGAGCCTCAGCTTTGCCCTTGATGTTCCTCGGCTTCCCAAAGTTGTTGGACTTGCCCAAGTGGTTGTCGTAGAGTTTGGCCTTGAAGGTCATGTCTGAGGCCTTGGGGAACATGCATTCCTCCTCCAGGATGGACATGATCCCCATGGGCTGAGGAGGAGAAGACTTTGTTGGCCACAGAGAACACCAAGGATGACCTCAAAGTCTGTGGTGGCTCCTCCCTGAGGGTCTGCAGGGGATGGATCCTCCTCCCTCAGCCCCTGGAGGTCCTGGGGTGGAGGTACCTTCTCGATGAGGTCAATGCAGGCCTGGAGGTCCATGCCGAAGTCGATAAACTCCCACTCAATCCCCTCCTTCTTGTACTCCTCCTGCTCCAGCACGAACATGTGGTGGTTGAAGAACTGCTGCAGCTTCTCGTTGGTGAAGTTGATGCAGAGCTGCTCGAAGCTGTTGAACTGGGGCAGGAGAGAAAGGGGGTGGGGGAGGTGGAGGGGTCAACTCAACACCCAATGGGGCCAATGGGCTCAACTCAACACCCAATGGGGTCAATGGGTCAACTCAACACCCAATGGGGTCAATGGGTCAACTCAACACCCAATGAGGTCAATCTGAGATCCAATGGGGTAACACAACACCCAATGGGATCAGTGAGGTCAAGCTGAGACCCAATAGGGTCAATACAGCACCAAGTGAGGTCAGTGAGGTCAACACAACACCCAGTGAGGTCAACACAACACCCAACAGGATCAATGGGGTCAACTCAACACTCAACAGGATCAATGGGGTCAATCTGAGACCCAAGAGGGTCAACTCAACACCCAATGAGGTCAGTGGGTCATTCTGAGACCCAACAGGACCAACTCAACACCCAATGGGGTCAACACAACACCCAGTGAGGTCAACACAGCACCCAGTGATGTCAGTGAGGTCAACACAACACCCAACAGGATCAATGGGGTGAATCTGAGACCCAAGAGGGTCAACTCAACACCCAATGGCGTCAACACAACACCCAGTGAGGTCAACACAACACCCAACAGGATCAATAGGGTCACCTCAACACTCAACAGGATCAATGGGGTGAATCTGAGACCCAAGAGGGTCAACTCAACACCCAATGGGGTCAACACAACACCCAGTGGGGTCAACAGGGTCCACTCAATACCCAGTGGGGTCAGTGGGTCAATCTGAAACCCAATGGGGTCAACTCAACACCCAATGGGGTCAACACAACACCCAATGGGGTCAACTCAACACCCAATAAGATCAATAGGATCAACTCAACACCCATCAGGGTCAACCCAAAGAATCCAACATTCCTCTCCAGCTCACCATGACTCCACAGTAGACCCACCCAAGCCCCAACTGGCCCAGCCCAACCCCTCCCAGGAGCCCAACCCCACCCATCTGGGCCTCACGTCGAAGATCTCGAAGCCGGCGATGTCCAAGACGCCGATGAAGTATTGTCGCGGCTGCTTGGTGGCCAGGGAGTTGTTGATCCTCACCACCATCCAGTTGAACATCTTCTCGTAGACAGACTTGGCCAGGGCCCCGATGGAGTAGTAGACCTGCTGGACACTCTGCCCCTTGGTGACGTACTCGTTGCCCACCTTGACCCGCGGGTGGCACAAGCCCTTGAGGAGGTCGGCGGAGTTGAGGCCCATCAGGTAAGCTGATTTGTCAGCGTCTGGGGGGAGGAGATGACACGTGGGCAGGTGTCACCTCGGCTCGGTGACCGCCAGGGACGTGTCCTCCGCCTCGTGCTGACACACCTTCGGTGCCGTCAGGCTCTGCCTGCTCCTCCCTCTGCTTCTGCTTGAACTTCATGTTGCCGAAGTGCATGATGGCTCCCGTCAGCTTGTACACTCCGGCCTTCTCCTCCGCCGTGAAGCCCAGCACGTCGAAGGCACTCTGGGGGGAGACGGTCATCCAGGGAGCCAGCCAGCCATCCATGGAGTCATCCAACCATCCATGGACTCAACCATCCATGGACTCATCCAGCCATCCATGGACTCAACCTTCCATGGACTCATCCAACTATCCATGGACGCAAACATCCATGGACTCATCCAGCCAT